ATTAATTATATCTCAGACAGAGTTCTTTATTTATTTATTATTTATGTTTCTTTTCTAATAGCTTCAGAAGTGATTTTGAAGACATCTTTTTTATTTATAAGAGAATCTTTTTATTATCTTATTAGAATATATCTTTTTTCTGAGAGATTAAGATTCTTTATTTCTTCTTATTTAGATTCTTGTTTCACAGACTTTATTTCTTCTTTTCTAAGATTGATTTAATAAAAGTTACTTGCTCTCTCAATTCTGTAACTATTCTTAATTAATGCTGTAGTTTATCAAGTTTAAGTCAGATATTTAATCTGAGCTTTGTCTGTAGAAAGAATATGTGAAAAGATTTATCTAGTAGATTATTCAGATCTTGTTTAAGTTTGATAATGTATATGAAAAATAAGAGTACAAACTGATTTTCTTATTAGATAATATTATAGTATTGCTATATTATATTTTAACTACAAGTTATCTCAGGTTTAACATTATTCTTATACTATATTTTGAACTTATTTTATAATATGAGTGATTATTCTCTCTTTATTTTTAATATCTGTTAGTACATCTGAGATTTGTCACAAAAGTAACTAAATACTTAATTAATCCTGACAGTATCTGTTACTCTGTATAATAATTTTCTCAGGCAGAATTACTATTTTATTAAGACCAACTATATTTTGCACTTGTCAAATAATTTGCTATAATAGTAAGATGCTTTTGAGAGTTTTATATTATCAAGATTATCTGATTTCTCTATCAGTTATATCTGCAAGAGAAACTTTAAAGAAAAATTATTATTTGCTAATCTTTGTTTATATTTGATCTACTTCTGAAGTCTGTATATTTTGTTTTGTTTATATATATCTACTAGATTCTTTTGCAAATATATCTTCTTTTTTTTAAAAGTTTCTTCTCTTCTAATTTTATTTAATATATTCAAGAATATATCTTTATTATCTCTGTTATTAACTAATATCTTACTGGTGATTACTTCATCACTTCTGATATCTTTATTATTATTTATTTTCTTCACATTAATATTTATCTCTATTGAATCTGCAATGTGAAGTGTTGTCACAGTTTGTCTTGTAAATCTTGTTAATATTGTATTAACTTAGATAATTATATATCAGAGCATTCAGAATTATTAAGAAATCTGATGTAGATCTTATAAGTTACTCCAGAATTTGAGATACAAAAGAGTTAAGTAGATTCAATACCTGTAACTGATAAAATAGAGTTATGTATAGAATGTATAGATTTACTAACTAAAAAACTGAACACTAAGATTCTCATAATCTGTGTCAATTATGTGATTCTTATACATTTACAGTTATAAGTTATGTGAGTTTCTCTAAACATCTGATGTCATCTGATGCTTGGTTTGTCTATGTTTGTTTGGTGCTTGGTTGGTCTACATTCCTAACAAATGCAGCAAAGAACTTATTACATTAGAAGTTCTCTGGAACCATGGCAGAGAAAAATACTTACTAGAGTGAGTTCTGTGCCTGCCCAGGATGAGCCCAGGGAAGCAATATAAGCACAGACACTCTGGCTACCCAGACACCCGGGGCCAGCCCTAGGCCTGGTAGAGATTTGCTGATGTTATGAAACTACACAACCAGGTAAATTGCCTATTATTCTTCAAGAGCTCAAGAAGCATGATAGCTCAGTAAAGATTCTTTATAATACTTTATACTACTAATCTGAGAATAAGATTCTCTGTCTAGCTGGAAAAGATAATAATATAGTACTTGCACTATCAGCTATTTATTTTCTGAATATCTTTATTATTCAAGAGTGAAAGAGATCTAGAATTATTTTTATAAACAGACTCCAGATTCAGCAAATCTTTAATGATAATTCTATTAGAGAGCTTGAGATACCAGCTCTTATCAATAACTATAATCACTATATAGGTGGGATTGATATAGCAAATTAGTATAGAATTCTATAAGATTCATTGCACTGGCTATAGAATCTGGCTGCTAATTTTCTGGTAGCTGCTTGACCATGCAATAATAATGCTTATATACTTTACCAGCTATCTTATTCTTGCTCTACTGCTAGACTGATTGAGCATATAACATTCTATAAACAACTTTATAAGACTTTCTTTAAATCTGCTAATCTTTTACTACTGCAACAATCAAATACAAATCTTAATCATTCATGAACTATATTATTAGCTATAACAATTTATGCCTGATATCAGTATAAAAAGCAACAGAGTTAAATAAAGAAAGGCCAGCTCTCTAAATCACTATATGATTGCTCAGTTTGTATAGTAGCTCTCTGTCTCAAGAAGTATTGCTGGGAAGAGCTTTATTTTACAGACAAAATTCTAATAAGATATAATTCAGATTCAGCAGATAGTTATAAATAAATATTCTTATTTCAGAGAGAACTTTAGTTTCATCTTTAATACACAATTCCCTTACTTCAAGATTATACATAAAGACTTGAGCAATATACAGAAAAACCTCACATATAATCTTTGTTATTCTATATTTGACTTGAGCTGCTGAATTTATTGCCTCTTAAATTACAATTATATGGTGAAAGAGCTTAATAGAGATTATAATAGCTATTATGTCTCTGCTTTCTTTTGACTAATAGAAAATTATCATATTTAGAGAATAAGTTGCATAGACTAGCTATAACAAGTTCACCAAAGTCTTCAGCATATTTATTAATATTAAAAGAAATAAAGACATCTCCATGTAATATTACCCTTTTCAATAAAAAACCTCTTTCCAGGTCTCTGCAAGACCTAGAAAGCTGCTGTATTAGTCATAATACTAATGTAATTCACTTCTGAATAGCTTGCTCTACTAAGCAGCTCACCAAATTCAATATATTTTTACAACTAGATTTGAACCCAAATTATCTGTGCTCAGCAGCAAATAATTAAATTAAATTAAATTACATTAGATTCTGCATATCTTAGTCTTGTATGCCTGAGTGTACCACAATTGCTGCACTTTAGTGGAGCTTATAACTGTGGCATATACTCTGGGGTGTAAGATAAGGGGAATTGAATGACTGGCTGTTCAACAGACTAAGCAGAAAAAATAATAAGATTCTGAGCTTCTTTTCTAGTTAGATATTCTTTATGTTGAATTCTGTAGGTAGATCTCTTGTGTTTTTACTTTTCTTTCTTATTTGTGACAAATATATTCTGATATTACTTCTTCATAATAATGGCATTGATCATGCTGTATTCACAGACCTTAATAATTTGATCCAGATCTTTCTCTAGATCAGGAAGACTTTCAATTCTCTGTATTATAACATACTTGATCTTCTTCTTCTGTTGATGCAATTGATGGGGATTCCTAGATGTTTGTAGAACTGAGAATAACTGAAAATTGCTAGCTTGACTAGCTGAAGAGCTAGATGTATGAAGCTGAATATCAAGCTGGTGAAGAACTTGATTTGATTTAAATAAAGTTATACTAGTAGCTCTAAAGCTGATTTGAATATTCTGAGATTTAAAGGCCTTCTTATGTCCTGTAGAATACATCTCTAAAAAATCAATCTTCTTGATAATGTTGAATTCTAGCTGCATTTGCTGTTCAATTAGAGCTCTGTACACTTACTTTAAAACTGCAAAAATACTTACATCTAGAGACTGTAAGAGATGTGATGAATATGCTAGCATGCAAAAAGAAATAATCTTATTCTTACTGCAGATTTGAGTGAATTCAGGTGTAAGATAGCTGCCATGGCTATTCAGAATAAGAAGTATATAACTGCTGATCTGATGTAAATTCACTATTGAAATAAATAATCTGATAAGCCATCTGATTTCTATCTTGTCTGTAGTCTAGCTATTAGAACTGACATTCAATCTCCAGCCATCTGGCAGCCCATCAAACCAGCCTTTCTGGATATTCTGATCTTTAAGAATGATGTACAAAGGCAAGACCTATCCTGATACATTAACTAACTCAATCACTGTCACTCATTCTTGATTTCCAGACTGTAGAAGCTTTGCCCAGCCATAGTACTCAGCACTAGTAATGATCTTAGTAATTGCACAGAGTTTAATTGCAAATTCAGTCTTATTAAAGTTATAGATATTCTCAGTCTAAATCCCATGCTCAGTAATTATATCTTCTAGAGTCTTAAATCACTTCTGAATAATCTTTCTGTCCTCACATTTAGCTTGATTATAATTATAACATCTAGAATAGCAGTACTGGAGCTCCATACAGTGTTTAATCAGCTTTGACACTTAGTTTTTGCTAATATAGGGGGATTGGAGATGGAATACTGTAAAGTAAGAAGATGATTAGCCATATCCTTAACAAATGCTGGCTGAAGGGGTAATTCTTGTTTAGCTAGATCTAGGATCCACTGAACTAGCAGGTTCTCTTCAGTCTTTGTTGACTTGGCTGAATTTGCATGTAGGCTAGTTCTTGCAGGTCAGTCATTGAGTCAATAGTGTAGGGTTGAATATGGGACTTCAAATAAGTGAGCAGCTTCACAAATTGAGCAAACTTCTTGCTTTTTAATAGCAGATATCACAAGTTCAAGTCTTCCCTCTATTTCTATAGAGTTTCTTGCATTTTTACTGCGAATTGGTGGCATTTTCACGCGTTGAAATGGGCTAATTAGAAAATTGAAGATATTTTGATTTTGGTGAGCCGCTCGGTGGGGTGAGCCGCTCGGGGGTGAATTACATTATAACAAATAATTTTTATCTTGCGTGGGACACTCGCGGGCTCTCGGGCGTGGTCGCGCGAACGCTTCAAAGCGCGAAAGCGCGAAAACTCGAAAGCGCGAAAGCTCGAAAGCGCGAAAGCTCGAAGGATGGAATCGGAAATAGGCTAGTGGTAACATGCAAGGACCACCATTTTGAAGCTCAGGGCCACGGGAAACGGTGGCACGTTCTATTTTCCCCATTTCGACGGAGTTCTCCGTACTCCGTATATAAACTAAAATCTAAAGTTTAGCTTAGATTAATAAGCTAGAGCTGACTGCAGTAGGTTATATTAGGTTTAGTCTGGTCATGTGCCTGCTTGTAATGTTACATGGCGCTGAACATAAATTACATACATGGTGTGGTGAGCTCAGCACACTGTGGGTTGATCTGTACGCACGCTTGGCAAGGAGGCTCGCCTTGGAAACGGAGCATCTGGCATGGTAATAGTACCAAGCTACCCCCGTACTTCCCCTCAATATGGTATCAGTACTGAGCACAACGGGACGGGACCGTACTGTACCGTCCCAGTTCCGACCATCGGCCGACGCGATCCTGGCCCATTACCCTCGATAACGGCCTCTTTGTCGTCCAAGACATTGTTGGCCCTAGCCCCGGGCAGCAGTATTCTTTCAATCAAGTACAGAGTACTCCGTAGTCATCCTCAGATCACACCCAGTACGTCAAGATACGATAACCCCTCACTGTAGAGCCCAAAGGGGAAACGCTAAAGAAATAGTAGAAACCTCATGGCGGTCCATTCATAATTCATCCCTGCTCGGAAACGATATTCTCCATAACCGAGGAGAAATAGGTTTCCCAAGCCAGTAATTCCACAAGCGGCCAATCTCTGTGGTAAAAATATGATATCTGCTTAATAAAACATGATTAGCAAAATTGGTTATGGCGATGTTGGAAATTTATTAGCGTTAAGCAGTGAATATAAAATACAGGTCCAGCTGAAACTTACATCAGTTTCGGGAACCTCGCCCAACTCCGAAGCACATAAGCGTATGCCTGCCATACTACACGCCATTCCTTGTTGAATACATCTTTAACGCTCATCGCTTCCTCTTGCTGCTCGGAGTCTCGATTTTGGGCGTTGTTACCAGCTATCGCAGCGGTTTTACCTTCGGAACTAGCCCGAGGCTGTCGAAGTGTACGTGAAGGACTTGCATGTGCTGTCAAATGATCCGCGCCCGATTTGAGAGCCTTCTCAAATTTTTGAATCGCCGATACGCTATGAGAGACTCTTCCCAAAGTGTTAATCAAGGCAACCAGATCCGTTCTTCGAAGTAAACCGTTATTACTCTCCGGTCCATCAAATTCAAACAAGACCTTTAACGCCGTACCATATCCGGCAGTCTGAAGCTTTCCCCAGAGGCGACACTTGTCACATCCGATACAGTCCATCAGTCGACTGACGTTTCGAAAACGGTTACGAAAATCTTCCTTTAACGCAATCCCGCCATGAGCCTGAAACATGATGCTCTCATTAAAAACCTGAGGCCCAGAAGCAAGGGTATCGGTCAGCTGGGACATCCACTGCTTCGTTTCATGATCTTGCTCGGGATCATCGGCACAATAAGAGAAGTTTTGCAAGTGGTGCTGCAATTTGGCAACAGCGCGAGATAGAAGGGCAAAGTTAAAATAAAGATTAGATATCCGGTCTGGATGAGAGTGAAGTCTTTCCTTGTAGCACTGCAGGTTTGGCAACCATTCTCCCGTAGTCTGATTGAAATAATTCCAGCACAGATGAGTTGATATCGAGGCATGCATTCCGCTTATTAAGCGATAGAAAGCTCGTTTTTCCAAACATTCATCATCCACAGGATATCCTTCATTATGAAGGACAGCACTAACAGATTGTTCTCTTTCATGCTTTTCGAGCACATGTTGAAAACTGTGAGCAGCCTGCAATGCTCCAAAGTTCATCCTCTTTTGGGGGGGGAACCCTTGCTGGGACGGCTTGAGAAAACAGTTTTCCCGGTAAATTGCGTCCCAAACTTGCCAGGCACCTGGTCCAGAATAGCCAGTGAATCGTTCAGGATTATCAACCAAACTCACATAATCCCCTTTTCCGGTAGCTCCTTCATCCTCAGGTACGCAATAATCCCTTTCATCACATTCATCATCGTATTCCACCACACATGATTCACCAACATCTTCCCCAAGCATTCCTTGAAGGGGCTTTTTTTTTGGCCTTGCTCGTTGCTGTTCTTTGCCCGGGTGCCCAGCTTTAGGTCCTTCCAGCTTGCTCAACGCCTCCGCCCTCCATATGGCCGGAATATCGTCTTCGGACTCTAACGTACTAACAGCACAGGCAATGTTGCCACACATGCCAGTGTTATCCGACCAAAAGGGACATTTCTTATTAAACAGATTGAGGCGATAGTAGGAAAAAAAATCAGTATCTTGTGTGATCGATTTTAAAATTGGTGCAATCTCCGTATTAGCAGAATTCACCGTCGCAAAGGAGGCACACGTATCGGGAATAGTCGACTTGGAATCGATCTAGAATCATATCAGATGAGTTAGCGTATGCTGGGAGTAGGAACATACTGGACAATCATGGGGCAAATGCCACCGAAACGCAGGGACGTAGTTTTCGCCATTGACCGGCCGAAGAAAGGAGAATGCAGCAAGGGAAAAAAAATTCGCAACTAATCTCATTGTTGAATTTGGTAAAGAAAATGCCAGGTTGTTGGAGAGATCTATATGCTAACACTGCAATGATCGAATCTACTACAGCAAAATGTGGAGAAGTCGCTCAAACGGGGATTAAGAATAAATATGTGTAGTATTTAGCTCCTAAGCAAAGGTAACGACAAGAGATTTTAAAGGGGATATCGAATTATCACCCATTTTCACAGGCATTGTCCAAAATCAAATGATGGATCAATTGATGGGACAAAACTTGCTAGCTTTATGACTTTAATGCCTGTCATGGCGTGACTTTTGGGAAAGGAGACGTGTTCTTCCTCGCACAGCCGCAATGATGCCACAGGCCAATTAGTTTCGGGCTACTCAGGCCAGCATGGGGGGTCACTACGGAGTACTCCGTCCCTAGTGCCCGACAGATCTGCTAAGGATGACTAACACCTTTTTTTTTTAGATCGCTCAAAAGCTCCAGTCCTTCTGGGGTTTCCTGAATGCACACACAAACCACAATAAATGGATTCAGTATCCAGGGTAAAGCCCTTTTGCTGTCTCTTCAAGCGCAAATGGCCAGCTTTCAATCACTACTCTCCAACATTTTATAGTTGGTCTGGGCTGCCTGGTGTCAGACAGCCGCCATGTCGCTTTTTCGCAAAATCATCAGTTGTGAGACGGAAATTGGATCAAGAAACTCTTTGGCGACATAGAACAGACCACTTCTCCAGCGATCTATCGCAAGCCTTGATGGCACATCCCATGGTTTCTGCTGCAGATCTACGGTCGCGGCGAGAACGACCACGGGGAGTGAAGATGCTAACCCGGGACTTCATTGAAGGTACGAGGGGAATCCCGTCCACCCTATCGACCTTCCTATTTTGATGGCCTATTATAGATAGTCTGTACAACCCCTATTATGGCTATTTCTCCAAGCATGCGACAATTTTCACTCCCGGAGAACCTTTCGATTTCAATAATATCGACGATGGCCCAGCGTTCAATCGCCTGGTCGACCAAAGGTACGCCGAATTTGAAGACAAGCTGGATGCGGTTACGCCAAACCACACCCGCCAGCTCTGGCATACACCCACTGAGCTCTTTCGGCCTTATTATGGAGAGGCCATTGCGCGGTATCTTGTTACGAATTACAAGTTGACATTGTTTCCGTATCATGATCTGATAATATACGAAATGGGGGCGGGCAATGGTACCTTGATGCTTAACATTCTTGACTACATCCGGGAGGTTGACCCCGAAGTGTATCAGCGAACCAAGTTCAAAATAATTGAAATTTCCTCTCATCTCGCAGATACACAACAGAAAACCCTAAACGGATCGATCTATGACGATGGCCATCGTGGCCATGTTGAAATCATAAATCGCTCCATATTTGAATGGGACACTTACGTCCATTCCCCGTGCTTTTTCCTTGCCCTTGAAGTTTTTGATAATTTCGCGCACGATGCAATTCGATACGACCTGCAAACAGGCCAGCCTCGACAAGGATGTGTTCTAGTTGATTCCGATGGTGAATTCTATGAGTACTACGTTGCTAATCTAGACCGTTCTGCGTCTCGATTTCTGCGCATTAGACAAGCGGCTGCCCGCCGGCCATTCTCCACTCCACTACGTTCGCGCATGTGGAGGACTATCCAATCCTCGTTTCCATTCGCCGCCAACATGACATTACCAGAATACATACCCACAAGACTGATGGAGTTTTTCTACATATTACACAATTACTTTCCTGCCCATCGGCTTGTTGCTAGCGATTTTGACAGTCTTCCAGATACAACACCCGGTTATAACGCGCCTGTAGTACAAACACGATATCAACGAAGAACTGTTCAAGTCATGACCCCTTATGTAAGTGGGTCCGTCTTCAGGAACATTTTCGAGTCAAATCTGCTATGTAATAGCTTCGGGGCTTCTAGCTGATTATTTAACTAGGTCCACCAAGGCTATTTTGATATATTTTTCCCGACAGATTTCACTGTAATTGAAGATGTGTACCGTGCTATCACTGGGAAGTTGACTCGGCTATCCACCCACGAAGATTTTATGAGGCGATGGGCATATGCGGAGGATACACAGGCCAAAAGTGGTGAGAATCTGCTTTTAACATGGTATAAGAATGCCAGTGTGCTTGTTACAGTATGAAATCATCAGGTGAAAGCATACAAATGCGCAAGATATATTTAAGGCTTTAGTTATGGAGCGACTACCTCTAATAATCAAGAGGGAATCTGAATTGCCCCAAAAGGCTACAATTGTACTGGGCCCAGAGTAGCGCCGGAGGCAGGTCGCTTTAAGGACCTGCTTGACAGGGTTGAGTGAGAAGGGGGTGATGTATAGGTGAGGCAGGATACAGATCAGCTCCCAGTGTCCTGAGCTCATCACACATGGCTGAGTAAAAGTTCATCTGACCATCTGTAACACCATGTAACGTCTTTCACAGTGAACTCAGACACATGGTGAACTTGGACACTTTTGCATGTGATATAGTCTGATTTTTCAGCACCAATCAAATCTTGCAGTCTTCATTATCATACATTCATTTCACAGCAAAAATAAGCACAAACAGACTAGTTTTGACTGCTTCAGCAGTACAGGATCAAGAATTGAGTTAATAAAGAGCTGCTATATTATATAATGTTCCTCTTTCAAGTTTAAATAATTATATTTCTTGTCATACAAATAAAAAGATAGCTGATTCAAAGAAACAAAAATTATTAGTTTCTGAAGAAGCTGCTCTTATAAAATAGATTCTTTCTATAAATAAATCTGATCTTTCTTCTTGATATTCTACTGTACAAAGCATGACAAATCTTCTTCTTAAGAAACAGAGAGATAGAATTTTAAAAACTGTTAGACAAAACTGAACAACAATCTTTATAAAACAATATTCTAAGCTGAAGTCTAAATTTGTACAAAAATTTAACTACAAACAATCTTTTTATAAAGATTTAAAGATTATACAAAAGTGGTTTGATTTAGTAAAAAAGATTATAAAAAAATATAAGATATTGTCTGAGAATATATACAATATAAATGAGATTGAATTTGTAATGAGAATAATTTCTACTTGCATGATTATTTAATAATTCTGAAAGAAAAGATTATTCAAAGTTACTGTAGCCAGAAAATCAAAAATAGATAACAGTAATTAATATAGTTAATGTATCAAAATGAGCTCTAGCTTCTATAGTTATATTCAAGAAAAAGAATTCTTCCTTGTATAAAGATAAAGTTTTCTTATTATTAGATTGAACTGTAAAATCTAGTTTAAATGACTGAATAACAGATAAGCTTAAATTCTTTTGAATTAAAAAGATTTTTAATAAGTAAACACAATATTATATAAAGAGCTGATATTGACTGCTGATTATAGACAGCTATAAAAGTTATACTACTTTAGAGTTTGACTTCTTCTATATGAAGAATTAAGTTATTTTTCTCTACATGCCTCTTCATTCTTTATATCTTTGTCAGTTATTAGATGTGAGCTGTTTTGCTTTTTTAAAGCAATCATACAGACAGCTTATTAAGAATTAAATTTAATATAGAATTAATTATATGAATAAGATAAACTTTTTGTCTTTATATTCTTAAGCTCATGGCAGCATATTCTCTGAGCAAACTATACAAAATGAATTCAGAGCTACTGGATTGATTTTATATAATCTATATAAAGTTTTGTTTAAACTCTTACTATTTACTCTTTCTTAATATAGTATCTCTTATAATTCTCTAAGCTCTTGAACTTCTTAGATCTTAAACAATACTAATAATATTTAAAGATAATTTATCAGACTTTAGTATTAATAACAACTTCATACAACATCAGTCTCAAGTCTAATTAACTGATTTATAGATAGGCTTTTCTATAACTATAAGAAGCTTATGATTGAAAATGTTCTGCTTGTACAAGAAAATATAAAGCTTCATACAGCTAATAGAAAACAGCAACAGAAGACAAGAAGAAGTACATATATTTTTCAGAAAGATGCAGCAAGATATGTACAAAAAGATAATAAAAAATCTGTACAAGAGGCTTGTAAGTTTATTTAAGTAGCTAGTAAGAATATTATATAAAGAAATAATAATGATTTTGTGCAGAAAGATAGTAAGAACTCTGTGCAGATAACAGATAAAAACTTTATATAAAGATATACTTTTAAATACTGCAGTATATATTAAGTTCTTGAGTATACTGCTTATATATACTCTTATTATGATTAGCTCCATACAAAGTATTACTGAATATAGTGAAGAATAAAGTAGCTTGTTTGAGAATCTTATAATATTTTTTTTCTTCTCTTTTCTCTTTTCTTTTTTTTCTCTTCTTCTCTTCTTTAATTTATTATTACATCAAATATGTATGTACAAAGCTTTATACAAAGCTCAGGTAGATTAATGTATTAATAAAATATGAAGCTAATTAATTCTTTGTATAATATAGAGCACTCTCTCTTCTTGATCTCTCTGGCTCTCAGAGTTTCTATCAAATACTCTTTATTGCTGGTCAGTAATTGAGTTTCTTTGCTTATAGTTCACAGGCTAGAGTAGTTCAAGCTCTTTCAGAGCAGAATATTTCTTTTGTACATGACAGTATAAATGAATATCAGATTTTAAGTCACTGGTCTTTGTATATAAATGCTATTCTTATCTAATCTCATAGGTGGCTAAAGATACAGGTCTGTATTACTTGCTATAATAGTTCAGATCTTTATTTATTTTCAGAGTGCTACTGATTACCAGGCTACTTTAGTGGAGCATGTAGTAACTGCAAATAGTTTAATTATGCCAGCTGCTGCTCTGTACAAGATGAAGAGGATGCAGTAGAGATGATAAAGATTGTTAACTCAGATAAAGAGAATGGCTCTTAACAGTCTGGTGAGTGTTCTAGAGCCTTGATTACAGATGGTTCAACACCATCTTTTGCAATTCTTATTGAATAACTTCTGGTATATATAATTTTTTTTGTTTCTGTTTTCAAGTTCTTTCTCCTGGGTAGGTTAAATATGTATGATTTCATTTACTCCAGTCATACAGAGCCTGTGTATGATATCTAAGCATGGCTTGCATCTCTATATGATTGTTATAAATGTAGACCTAGACTAATCAAGCATCAGATAATATCAGACGTTCAGGGGTACTTATATAACTTCAACTCTGAACATATAAGAATCACAGAATTTATATAGATCATAGGAACCTTAGCATTCAGTCTTCTAGTTAGAGAACCTCTATATTCTATGTATAACTCTCTTCTATTAGTTGCAGGCATCAGATCTATTCAGCTCTTTCATATTTCAAATTCTGGAAAAATCTATATAATTCACAGCTGGTTCTTTTAGCATTCTGAATACTCTGATATATGATTGTCTAAGTTGATATGATGCCAACAAGACCCATAAGATGAATAATATTAATGCCTCATGTTGCAGATCTGATAGGGACAAACATTAATGTGAAGGAAATAAATATTAATAAAGATGCTAGTAGCAGTGAAGTCACCACCAGTAAAACATCAGTCAATAATACAAATAATAAAGATACATCCCTCAATATATTAGATGAAATCTAAAGAAAAGAGACTCTGGAAGAAAAGAAAGTATGTTTACAAAAGAATCTAGTAAATATATATAAATAAAATAAAATATACAGGCTGCAGAAGCAGATTGAATATCAATAAAGAATAATAAATAATATTTTTCTCTTAGAGTTCTTCTTATACACACAATTAATAAAGAAGTCAGATAATTTTGATGATGTGAAGCTTTTAAAAATATCTTATTACTATAATAAATTACTTGATAAGTGTAAATTATAGTTAGCTTCAATAAGACAGCAATTTTGTCTGAGAAAATCACTATAAAAAATATCAGATACAGTCAGAATTGATTGAATATCCAGCTACTTTTGTAATAAATCTCAGATATACTGGCAGATGTTGAAAATAAGAAGAGAATAACTACTCATATTATGAAATAAATTTAAGATATAATATAAGAACAACATTAAATCTGAAATAACTTATAGTTAAGACATAATGCAGCACTATTATAATGCTATTTAACAAGAGAACTAATTTATATTCTTGTTTTTTATATACATCACCAAACTTGAATAAGATCTGAACAGTTTATCAGATAAATTCTTTTATGTACTTTTTTTATAAATAAAGCTCAGATCAATCATTCAAACTGAACTTAATAAACTGCAACATCAATTAAAAATAATTATAAAATTACAAAGACAAGCAACACTTATTAAGTTTATTCTAGAAAAGAAGAAATAAAATCAGTAGAACAAGAATTAAAGTGAGAAGAAATAAAAAATCTAAGTCTCTCAAAAGAAAGATGTGTTTTAACAAGATAATAAAAAAGATTATTTATGAATAAAGAAGATATCAGTAAAACTACTTTCAAAAAATATTAGAAAAGAAATACAAATAATAAATAAATAAAAAGCTCTGTCTGAAATATAATTAACTAAGTTATAAAATAAAGTTCTGTATAAACAGCTTTAACAAGTTCCAGCAGACAGATGAAAAGAATAAAAACCAGGAAAAAACTAGAGTCATAAAGTCTATACAAGATCCAGGTCAAATGTTAGAAAGACAGAATATTAACTTAATAGGGAAGATAAGCAGGTGTAGTATGTGTCTGTCAGCTATACTAACTATATTATCAGATAATCTTACAGAGCAAGCTGTACTGTTAAACTCAGATATCACAGTAAATAGTATTTTTTACAAACTAATATTTCAATTGGATTGAAATCAACCAGACATATCTATAAAAGTTATTAAGATGTTAAACAAAACTAAGACTAATTAATATAGCATGTACAAGATCCAACTTACTATAATAAACTTTATAAGAATTATAAAGATGGTAAGATATATATTTGTGGTGATCAACATGGTTGATATAAATATAGTTCTAGACATGTTATGATTGAAAGATCTTAATCTGGATATAGACTGGAAGAATAAGATATAATATTACTAATCTTCAGAGAAAACAGTAAAACTTCTGAATACAGATAGATTTCTCTAAGTATTGTACATTAAAAACAAACTTTCTTATATTATTATTATATCAGATGATAATCAAGTTCAGATAGAAGTATCTAAGTAGTTAAGAGACTAT